AACCTAAAGCAATTAGCAAATTTTATACAGATGAAATTAAACAACTCACAATTACAGGTAACAGGATTGGAAGGAGCTGAAGGGAAGGACCAGTTGGTGTTCCTGAACACCGAAGAAGTGAAGAACGTCCTGATTGGCTCGTTTGCAGGGCCCGAATCGCCCAGCCCGTGCAGCCACAGCACAAAGCTCCGCGCCATCGGGTCGGGTTGAATCGGAAGCGGGTTTGGGCGGTTGAGAAACACGATGGAGACTGTGACGCCGAATGTGACTGTGAAAACCGCTATGGGCTTGGCTGAGACAGCGATCGATTTCGTATACGCGGGCATCAGGCCCAATTTTCGCCTGGGGTAGTTCCGTTTTTCCTCAGGTTCTGTACAGTTTAAAAGCGTCGCTCGTACTCAACGCTTTCCTTGCCAATGTGAGGAAACTTTACAATTAATCAACGGTGGATAATTTTATATAATTGTAAGCATAAAATTAGTTATATTTTTAACCCAAAATAACTATTATAACTCATGTGTTACATCCTACGAGGTGTAATCACATAATGCGATCGTGTAGTACAATCATGTTGTGCAATCATGTAGCATAGTTTTGTTGTGCGATCATGTGGTGCAACCATATGATGTGATTATAGTGCTTATACAGTGTGATCATGGTGAGATCATAACATCATCATGTGGTGTGATCTTTGTTCCATTATGATGTTATCACCTCGATAACAATTAAGTGTTTTGGAAATTTGGCGCGAAAAAAATGTTAAATTATTTTTGAGGTGAAAAAGACGTACGTCATATTTGTAAATACATAGTTAACATATGTCATTTTTTTGGGCCCACTCTAATAACTTATTTCTAAAAAAAGGTACAGTGTATTGTCAAACATTGAACTTAATACTTTAATTTATCAAAAAAATAAAAAATATGTACACTAATTATGTGGGTCACGGAATAAATTTCACTATTTTCTATGCGGCCTAATTCTGGCGTCAGTCGACGGTCATTTTAGGCGGCTGATCTATCGTTGAATTTTTTATTATCAAGACAGTAGTACGCAAAAAAATTTAATTCAATAGAAGTTTTTTCGCCACTTAATTTTCATCAAAATAATTTATATTGTTTTATGTCTGATGTAATTTTTACACTATCATGCGTCTGTTTTAGGTGGGTGATCCACTATTGGATTCTTCTTGTTATGATGATTATACCCAAAAAAAAACAAATAAGCACAATTGAAGTTCGTATGCCTGCTCAATTTTTAATTCAGAATAATTTAAGTCAAAATTCGATTTTTCTCTATTTGGGGGCCATTTTGGTGCCTTCCAGAGTAATTTCAGTCAGGAGTCACCGTTGGATTTGTCTAATTGATACGGTCATATATACAAATTTGTAGCCCAATCATATTTTGTTTCTCCAGAGCTGCGATAAGACTAAATTCTTATTCGGCATCCCTTCAAATTTTCTCAAATGGAAGTGGAAATTTGTTTTTGTTCAACCATCTACCCCTTTTCTTTGGGCTTTGACCCCATGGCTCGAGGCCATTCCTTTCAAAACCCAAGACTGCTCGAAACCCGGTGTTCGACTAGCGAATAAAATCTTAGAATGTGAACCCGGTCGCCTCCAAAGTCCTTTCTCTCCAGCAAGAGGATCTTGTTCCACTATGGTCTGCTCATAATGCGACCTTAGTCTCCTCCCTCCGAACAAAAACATCAAGCACTCCAAATCTGAGATGAGAACAAGCCTGGTAAGCTCGAATTTAAAATTAGGTCGTCGTTGTTTTTATTGAAACTAACCATATGCTTTACACTTTATGCGGAGCGCTTGATGTCTTTGAGGAGTCCCTCAACCAAGGGGGCAGCTCCGACTAGCCAAACGGCCCCTCAAAAGGGTAAGTTCTCAGAGGTCGATAAGACCGCCCTAACCAGGCAACAAAAACACGTTCTTCCTCCAATCAAGTCGTCCAGCCAACAGGTCGACAAGCAAGTTGATCCATCCAGCGAAAAGGGCGCCGACTCGACCATTGGCCAGAAGCACCATAGTACCCACAGGTCGATGCAAGCGGCAAGAGGCCTCGCACCGAGGGGAAAGAAAAGGAGGTCACTACACCTCAAGAAGGTGACTCCCTACCTTATGCAGGCTCTGCTTGCATCAGACGCCGCCCGCTTGGGGCCTGACTTAAGGCTTAGTGTGATTATGTCGCACGGGCTGTAGCGCAAGTAAGATTTTGACTTCGGCCTCACTTACACCTCAAGAACTTCAAACTCCACACTTCTGCATGGTTCTAACACTTTGTTTTTTGTTCTAAATTCAGACTCTTTTCTCTATCGTTCTTTTGCTCGATGCTCCCCTAGATAGCTCTGGTCGTCCAATATTCGACCTGGAAAAAAAAGTCCGGCAGCTGATAGAAAAATCAACAGCTGACCCTGGCGAGGCATGAGCTGGCTCAACAGCTCAAGAAAGATGGGCTCCGTCACAAGGTCGAGCTCAAGGCCAAGGACACCGAGCTCGAGTGGGAGGTTGCTCGGCGAAAAGAGGATGTGAAGAGTGCTAGCATTGCCACTGTCCCGCAGGCTCGGCAGCTACTTTTCACTACGAGCATAGCCATCAATTTCTGGAAGAATACCGTAAGCAGGTGATCGAGGACTTTCTCAAGTCTACTGCCTTTCTTGAGAAAAGCTCGGCCATTACCATGGACTATTATACAATAGGCCAGGCTGAGAAATAGGTTCACGCTCCAAACTTTAATGTGGTGCGTTCGACCGCGTTGCCATCTGGGAGGCTCTTCCTAACGTCCCCGCTAGCTTCGAGGGCGATGCTACCTCACTTTTAAGAGCATTAATTATATTTTAATACTATTTCTATTGTAGACGTGATTTATAAAGTATAAATTTTTTTCAATCTTTCTTTTAAAAATATACAAATATTAAATTTACTAACTTAAATTATAAATATATTTAAAAGTTAATAATGTTTTTATTTATTAACAAATTTTTATGTATAACATATGAAATTAATCATGTCTTGAGGAGTTTTGATTTGACATCTATATTTTGCATACAAAATAAATAAATAATTTTATTTATCTTTATAATTAAATTTAAATTACCTATTAATATTAATTCCAAAAAAAAACTATTTAACTAACTTAACCACAAAGTTGGGCTGCTAGTTGTGCGTATTCCGATTAGGCTGCCAGTTGGGCTGTCCTCTCAAAGATTTCAACTGTGTAGCTGCTCTTTCTGGCTGTTACCGGTTGTTATCTGCTTGTAATAATGTGTTCTTTTAAAGAAATTATGCCGTTTGAAAAAAAAAAAGAACTTAACGACAAAGTAGTTATGTGATATAATTTTTTTTTTAAAAAAAGTTATATTTAATATAAGATGGGAAGTTGTGTAAGTGACGATGTCATTTTAAATATAATTAATAACATTTAAGAAATTAAAACAATTTTTGTTGTTATTATAATTTAATTTTAAATATAATTTTCTCAACAAGTACCCGTGTACTCAAAAACTCCCGCAAAGTCGTGTTCTAATCTTGTCTTTTACAGTCACACTCAAATCCTCATCGAAAAGTTAAAATCCATGTCAAATAGAACACACTTACGCTGCCTATATTATGACCAGACCTGAGGCTGAACGTTGAGTCCTTACCAAAAATAAGAAAAAATGTAAAATGTGTTCCGGTACCCACATTTATCTTGTGATATGGTACTCATATCCACACAGACTCATGTTGAAACTTATAGAATTGCCCAACTACCACATGGGCCATATGGGTGGCCATACTACTACTAGTCGTCGGACCCATGGGCTTCGAAAACGCGCATCCTCAACAGTCACTATGGAAAGTTGATCGCAAGAGTGAACCACACCATTTGTGGGCACTCTAAAGTCCAGTACAATCCTTGGCTCGACACTCCAAATTTCAAAAAATTATAAAAAAAATGTATATTTATTTGCCAAACTTAAGAAGTTTTGTCAAATTTAAAAATTTGGATAAGTTTCTGTGTTTTTTCGGTAATTAAGCCAATCCATAATTATAGCATTTCATGTGCTTTAAACACATGTTATAAAAGCATAAAATTTCCTAAAAAAATGCTTAGCTAGCTACACAAATTTCAAGTTGTCAATTATACTCAGATGAAGGCCAAATGCCCAAATCAGCAAGAGTCACCATGTTTGCTGTGTTTCCCTCTCAATAATAATAACAAAATAAAAACATCGAGCTGGAACAGAGTCAACCCCAGTCCTGCATATCAATCGAACATGTGTCTCGAGACCAAAAATCAATATTTATGCAAAATTGAAGCAATCCACCATCAGCATACTCACTGTCACCTATTCAGAATGTTCTTTTCCAATTTCCACATTTAATTCTTCACCAGCAATGGCCCCACAGTAATTGGCTATATATCTTACCACCCCATGCCGTGAGAGTACTCAGAATATCTCAGAACAGTCAGAGAAAAAGAAAAAAAAAAATGGCTAACCTCAATATCATAGGTATCGTCCGAGTCCTGCTGATATGTTCTGTCTTGCTTCAAGCAATCGCAGCACGAAGTATCACCTATGATGCCATGCAAAAAGGGGATCCAACAGACTCATTCCAGCCGAGGCCAGAAGTCCGACCAACTTCAGACTCAGGGCTTTATGAAGAGGCCAGTAAAAAAGGAATTGGTCCACCAATCAATGAGTCGAGAAATTACAGCACAAGCAGCCGGAAGATGGGTCGGTACAACAAAAATAAAAATGTCTGACCTATTATTAGCATTGGATGAGCATGCAAGAGATGATTTGGTCGGGCAAAATAAAGATCTATGGTCATATGAGAGATTGCTGATTAGGAAATGAAAACCCGCATGCGTTGTTATTGCAGGAAATAAACTTGTATCAAGTTGTTTTATGTAATGACTGAAGTTTCTCAGCAATTTAAATTTGGTGGTTGTCTAATTCTTCTTCTTCTTCTTCTTCATTTTTTTTTTTCTAAAAGTTATTCCAGAAAACAATGCATCACACACCGAACTAAGACCAGGAACATTAAATATGAAAATATAAGAAAGTGCAGTTGAATTCATGAATGGCAAGCAGGTAAATTTTGGTGCTTGATTACTACAGTCAGTTTAATTACCTCCGCATGTGTAATAATACTAGCTATTTCACAAACAAAAAGTTAAAAGAACTATCGCGGTTAAATTTTAGAAGACGAAATAAATTCAGATTGCGGAAAAACTGTCGGCAACAATAAGATGGAACACATGAACGCTGATTAAAATTTAATTCTAAAATTCAGATGGTGCAATTTCCAGGAAAGAAGCTAGCTTGTAGGTTGAGATAAGGGGAGAAGGATACAAGTTCGCCCTATGTTACATCATTTAAGTGTCACAAGCTTTCAAACGCCACATTACAACTGTATTCTTTTTATGACCAGGTAGAAGTTTCTTGAGAAGAAACTCAACACTGCTAAAAAGTTAAGGGCTTGTTATTATATTTTGAAGTTCAGTGACAGGTTTGTAGATATTTTAAAACATTGAAATTATAGTTCAAAAAATACAAGGAAAAGAAGTAAAAAGAGGATAAGGAAATTCAGTGCCACCAATATTTAACTTCTCATTTTATTTACCCAGCAAAATACTTCTCAACGTTAATAATCCTAATTTTTCAAACCATTTTCTCAAGTTTAACCTTTATACAAGCCACTTGCGATGCCTACTGTTGNCCTTGCCGGATTGGATTTGAACCCCCTAATTCTATCCATTAAAGAAGTTTCTCATGCCACCCGACTAAAGCATTCATGGCCCTAGTGAGACCCACAATTACCAGCCACATCTGATTGTATATTACCTTGTTACAACTATTAAATAAACCCAATGTGCTTACTGTCAACCTAATAGATTACCTTATCAGAATTGAATGCTTAAGGAGAATCCTATCTCTATTGTTTCCATCTATATTAATATTATATTAGTCTAATAACATCAGTTGGGTAGTACCCTCAGCCGCCTAGAACTCAATCTAAAAAACTCTTAAAGTATAATTATATTTTCAAAGTAACCCATTTTAACCAATTTCTACAGTTCTGTATGCACATATTATGAAAATGGTCTTTTAAGAAACTACCAAAACAAAAACAACCTCTAATCTGTTATAAGCAAGTTGAATTTATAACTATAATTTTCCATCAAACATCATTCATCCAAATATATTTTTAATATTCATAAAACAGCAGATAGCCAGATATGCCCGGCATGAGATAATAATAAAAACATTATCAAACGAACCTTAAGAGTCTCTACAAGGTATCAACCAGTTTTGCACATTGTAAACCCATTGAATGAACAGGCACCAACGCAGCCATCCAACAAAACATACTGTAAAATGTAAATTAGAAATGCACTATTTCAACACCTATAAATTAAGCTCATGCTCCGAAGCCAACAGTCCACCCAATCTTCAATTTTTTGGGTAAAGAAACACCTCAACTAGAAGATAATCCAGCAGTCAACCAAGTTAGGCTTAGCATGATGAAAATGGAAGTGCAAAGCAAATGAATATAAACACCACCGACTCAATTGAAATTTTGAACTGTGGAGGAAAATGGGACAACCAATTGGGTTAGAACTTAGAACTCTTAAGTTTCTTATGCATTAAACAATTCTCATCTCAATCAACTTAGAAAACAGTACCTATTACACTTACATTTGCAATTCGAGTGACAATCATATCTAATCACATTGCCCCCATATTTTTAATGATGGCTAGTCCACAAAACAATTTCCCTTCTAACTGCTCCAAAATTGTCAGTGAACTAGATTACTTACAGTTTTCCCAAAGCAAAACCTCAAGCTCCATCACCATACTCCTCAATTGTTCGCTTCATCTCATCAAGCTGGGATATGACATACTCCAATTTCTTACAACAGATCTCGTTCGATATCCTCGGAACATAGTCACACTTCTCGAACGGACGGTACTCGCAAGTGCTTTTAATTTCCTCTCTCAGCGTCATCTGAATATCCTAATCAAACAAATATGCAAAAAAACACAGATGGTTTCCTCATTGAGCTTCTAAGCTCCCGAAACTTTTTTCCCTTAATCAACTATAATCTGATAAAATCGCTTGAAGAGCGATAGTGGAAAAGGGAACGTGGAAAAGACCTTGACTAATTGCATGAACTCAGTGCAGTTGCTGTTAACGATCTCCTTTCTGGGGCCGCTTGGATTGGCCATTTCCTCCATTACTCCGCCGGCTAGCTCCAAAACCCTCACTATTCTCTGTGAACACGGGAACAGAAAATTCATACTCAATACATTCCAATGATTTTGAGATGTTATCAAATTTACCTTCTCCACATTTTGGAGTCGTTGTAGTGAAGTGGTCTGGCTTTGAGGATCCATGGCTGCGGCGGCGGCGGCGATGACGGCTGAGCGGCGTTTATTCGACCCGCGTGGCTCGGTTGTTGTTTGTTAGCTTTTAGCCCTTGTACTACCAAGTAATCTCTCACGGCCACCAGTATTATGAATAATTGTTACCTGCCTAGTGCTTCAGCATTCGTCAAATTTATTATGTTGTATTATTTAATCTAATTTAATTCAACGAGGAGAAAAATATTGATTTTGATATCAAAATGTCTTCTATTTTTCAAGCCCGGCCCGAATTTTAACAGTGCCGGATCATTGTCATACATTTGTACCATATGACCCACGAGCCGAGACGGACGGGCGGATCTGTACCAAGGTCGAGTCGGCCAGGCCCGCCACGTTGGATTTTTTTTTCTTCACATACTCTAAATTTGTGTATTTTTATTTTTATTATCTTGTTGCAAATTTTTTTTATATTTGTAAGTATATATGTATGGGAAAGGTTATAATCTCATTACGAAATGATTCGGTAAGGATTTTTAATCATGGATTATCTATAATAACTAATTTATATGTATATCTAATGACTAATATTTCTCACATAATCATTCCGTGATTTCCCATATTATATTGTGAATTGGGTAGCTCTATTCGTGGTCTCAAACGAAATTCATTTGTTTAATAAATTAATCTATCTCGAGCTATTAAAATATTTGTTGAGTTAATGATCTCAAGCTGTTGAAATTTCTCGAGCCAAACTCAAACTGCTCAATAAATACGCTTGAAAATTGAGAATCCCTCCAGTCTCCAACACTTTTTAATCATTACTCTAATTCTCAAGTTAAAAAAAAAAAAAAATATATATATATATATAGGGAATCGTTCAAATAAAAACCAAATCTAGTGTGAGAACCGTGATAATCATATTTCATGTTATTTTTTAATTGTGGATGATTCTATTTTTAATATTACATGATGCTATCATTTTCACAAATGTAAATATAAATTGTGTTGCTATTTTTCACAAAATAAATTCTGGTTAAAAATAGCACTAAAACACACTTAATCATAGCACTTCATACAATTAAAAGTAGCGGTTCTCACGGTACCACATCCTATATATATATAGGGGTTGGTTCAAATAAAAACTAGTTCTGGTGTGAGAACCGTGATTACCGTTTTTTATGTTATTTTTAATTGTGTATGATGCTATTTTTCATATTAAATGATGCTATCATTTTACAAATGTTAACAGAAATTGTGTTGTTATTTTTAATAAAATTATCTTGATTAAAAATAGCACCAAACAGAATCAATCATAGTACAATTAAAAATAGCAGTTCTCACGGTTCTCAAATTAAGACTTGGTTCTCATTTGAACCACATCCTATATATATATATAAGGTTGGGTTCAAATGAGAATGATTCTCAATGAAAGAAATAAGAATATATTTTAACCATTAGATCGGATGGCTAAAAAAAAATCAAGATATTAGACTAATTAAGGGTAATTTGGACATTACTATTACACGTCACCATGCCACATCACACCTACACACTTAACACACACAAAACACACGCCTACGCACAAGAGACACACGTATACACACACCACACACACACACACACTCAAACACAATCAATTACACACGCTGAAACTAGATCTGCACACACACCACACACACCCACACAGAGATCGGGCACACACACATACACACACAGACACGCCGGCTCCTCCCCGACGGCCACCCAGCTCTGCCCGACGGCCACCCGTGCGATGCACGGGTAAACAATATTAGTTAATGATTTTAAATTAAAGATGAAGTTAAATAATATTAACTAATAATTATAAATTAAAGATGTGAACTTCATATGTAATATAATTTATCGTATATGAGTTGTACAAAATATATAATTATCTTGTATAAAAGAATTTGAAAAAAATGAATGTTTAAAGTATTAAAAACGTCTAAAATATTTTATAACATATGTAAAAGTATCTAAAATTTTAAATATCATTATTGAAAGATGTGGAGTCATCTAAAAATTTCTTAAACTATTTTGTAAAAAAAACATGCCTAAAACTATTTATATTTAACATATGTATATGTATATGTGTATGTGGACATGTATAATGTGTACAAAATTGTCTAAACAATATGTTTAAAATTATATAAAATATTATGAGTCTAATAAGAGATATTGTCTCGCGAAACGAAGTAAAAAAAAGCAAAGCAAGGCATTGAGATGATATTGATAATTAAACATAACTTCCATGTAAGTTATAACAAATAAAATAGAATTTTATATCTAAAATTACCGTGCTTTATAACTCTTATTCTCTTTTTATGTAATACAAAATCTTATATCACATATCTAAAAAGTATTCAAAATATTTTACATTATTTTTGAAATATGTGTGGAGTCACCTAAAATTTTTCTAAACTATTTTGTAAGGAAAACAATTTCTTAATCTAGAGGATATGTAAAATTTGTCTAAATATTTTTAAAACATTAAGAATACCTAAACTATTATATAAAGTGTGTAAAAGTATCTAAAATATTATATATTATTCTTGAAAAATATAAAATTATCTCATTTTTTTCTAAACTATTTTATAAAAAAAGTATCTAAAATCACTTAAAGTTAACATTTCTCTCTCTATATATATACACTTTAACGAATGTGTAAAAAAAATACTCAAACAACATGTTTAAATTATATATAATATTATATATAAAAATATATTTAGAGTTATATCCACTGTTATATATTATAGTCTAAAAAACCGTTGGTCTAACAAACATTAATAATTTTAAGCAAAAATATTAGTAATTACAAATACCATAAAAAAATAATTAGACAATACAACATGCGCTAATTTTTTTATATAGTAGATATCCTAAAAAAATTTTATTAGAGGACTTATATTTTGGAGAATTGCTTTTTTATATAGTAGATACCCTAAAAAAATTTATTAGACAATAACTCGGACTTATATTTTGGAGAATTGATTGAGCGAGGTATTCGTGATTTTAAATAAAATCCGGATAGAGTTTTGGAGAGGCCTCAAAGCATACCACAAACTCAACCCTACACCGTGGAAGTCACGATGATGGACTTTTGTTCCACCTTTCCATAATTTTGCTCCTTTAGACATTATGAGCAAAAGTCTGAATCCGAGTATCCAATTATAACCAATAATTTGGATCTTCTTTAAGTTAGCATGTGTTCTTTAATGCCTTGTAAGTACTTTAAAAATTTCTTTGCAGCATAATCATTTAAAATCATTTTTATAGTTGTTTAACGTACCAACAACAAATATATTATCAAACCTAGTACAGGTTCGTCTCGCTTAAGACTCCTAATCATTTATATCTAAGGAATTTTCTCTATCACTTTTCATTCCATTTCACCTTTCGAACATTTATTTTAGACTAAATGTGTCCCTTTTATTAATTGGAATTATACGGAACAACCATCCATTATCTCTCAAATAAAACTTTTATGGGATAAACTTTTAGTCCTTGTGATCTATTTCAGAATATTTATGTTCCAATCAGCAAGGACGTTTCATCCACATCCTTTATTTCATAACTTTTTTAGAGAGATAATACTTTACTTCGTGCAACATGTCCACATTATTAGCAACTATAATATGTCATCGACATACGAAACTAAATAACAAATCTACTCCCACTGACCTTAATGTAGATACACCGATCTACGGTATTCTCTACAAAACCATAAGCAGTGATGGTATCATTAAACTTAAGATACCATTGACGAGAGACTTATTTTAGTCCATATATCGATCTATTCACCTTACACACTAATGTTTCATTTCTTTTGATCTAAAAAACTTTTAATTAGTTCATGTAGATCTCCTTTTTAAGTTTATCATTTAGAAGGTGATCTTTATGTCCATTTGATAAAGCTCAAACTCATACAAAGCCAGCATTACCATTACAATTGTCAAGGAATCTTTCTCGAAACGAGAGAGAGTGTTTCCTTGTAGTCAATGCCTTCCTTTTGGGTGTAACCTTTAGAAACAAGTCTAACTTTATATCTTTCGATAAAGTAAAAATTATCAAAATGATCCAGAAAAACAAGGATTAATGAAACAAAAGAAATGATGGGACTTTGAAACAAAAGAACAAGCATTCCATTGAAAAACAAGCCATGAAAAGTAAAAACTGTAGAAAAGTTTATCAATGCCATGAAAGAAAAATTAAAGTCAATAGATGAAAATAAGGTCTTGAATTCAATAGATTTACCTGAAGGGTCTAAAATAGTTGGGTGTAAATGGGTTTTTTCGAAACCAAACACGACTCTAAAGGTAATATCGAAAGATATAAAGCTAGACTTGTTGCTAAAGGATACACCCAAGAGGAAGGCATTGACTACAAGGAAACATTTTCTCCGGTTTCGAAGAAAGATTCCTTGAGAATTGTATTGGCAATGGTAGCTCATTATGACTTGGAGCTTCATCAAATGGACGTAAAAGACTGCCTTCCTAAATGGAGAATTGGAAGAGGAAGTTTATATTAACCAACCAGATGGTTTTGAGATCACAGGAAAGGAAAAGTTAGTGTGTAAGTTAAATAGATCGATATATGGACTAAAGCAAGCCTCTCGCCAATGGTACCTCAAATTTAATGATATCATCACTGCTTATGGTTTTGTAGAGAATACCGTGGATCGGTGTATCTACATTAAGGTCAGTAGGAGTAGGTTCGTTATTTTAGTTTTGTATGTTGGTGATATATTGATAGCTGCTAATAATGTGGACATGTTGCACGAAGTAAAGCATTATCTCTCTAAAAAATTCGAAATGAAGGATATGGGTGAAGCGTCCTTTGTTATTGGAATAGAAATATTCCGGAATAGGTCACAAGGACTTTTAGGTTTATCACAGAAAAGTTATATTTCGAAAGTTTTAAAGAGATATAAAATGGATGGTTGCTCTGCAGGAGTAGTTCCAATTCAGAAAGGGGATAAGTTTAGCCTTAAACAATGTCCGCAAAGTGAAATGGAACGAAAAGAGATGGAGATTATTCCTTATGCTTCTTTAGTTGGGAGTTTGATGTACGTACAGACCTGTACTAGGCCTGATATCAGTTTTGCCGTTGGTATGCTGGGAAGATACCAAAGTAATCCCGGACTTGATCATTGGAAGGCTG